AGCTAGTTAATTGAGCTCATCATTTATAAGAAAATTGGTTAATTATTTCAGGTTTGTAAATCCTTTGAGTATTGTTGTGGGAATGATAATTACAAATGTTGGGGTTTCTGTTAAATAATTTTTGCATTGAAGTTAAAAGGTTTCATTATTTTATATTATATTTGGGTAATCAATAATATGATTATATTTATTTAACAGATTAAACGACATGTTCCCACCTAAGGTTTGACTAATCTGCAAGTTCTCATCCCTGGTTTCATAAATTGCAGATTCCTATCATTAAATTAACACCGTTATTTTTCTCTCAAACTAACGTCCACATCTCAAATTTCTCTCAAATAACCCCTTGAGGAGATCTCGGCCAAGCCAAAAATCCGGCATGATTTCGACACCATTGAACCTCCCCGACATCACCATTAGCATCCCCTTATCTTCTTCACCAAAACCCCTAACTTTTTCACCCAATTGCATCTCAGTGAGGTGTCGGAATTTGGTTGGAAAGGGGCGACAAAACGCGAAAACTTAAGGAAGAGGCAGCGACGATCGGCAGGCAATTGTCATCGGCAATGTTGGGGGTTTTGGTAGGGGGAAGTCGGCGATGCTATTGGTGGTCTTGGAAGTGGTTTTCGGTATCGGGACTTTTCGGAATTTGGATGAAACGCCGATTGACACTAAAAATGACGATCGTCGATTGGGGGGTTCAATCAGACGGGGAGGTAAGGGGTTTGACGTGGGGGTTGAGGGGATTGTAATGGTGGTGTCGGGAGGGGTCGATTGTACCAGAAACATGTCGGAATGACCTGAAATCGCCGTTGGGGTGAATTTGAGAAATGAAGGGTTATTTTGAAATTTTTATCTTTGAAATGACCATTTTACTCTTTTAATTGTTAAATTAAACAGTTTTTTATTAATTTAGGGGTGGGAATCTGCAATTTATGAAATCAGGGGTGAGAACTTGTAGATTCGCGAAACCCACCTTGGGTGGGAAAATGTCGTTTACTCTATCTAACATTACTAATAAAATTAATTGATTTTTTTAGATTTTANAGAAAATGAAGAGGGAAATCGAAGGATTTTTGGGTAACATGAGGAGTGGAAAAGAGAAAAGAGACAAGAGTGGAGTTGTTTTTTATTTTAAAAAATAAAATAAAATATAATAATGATTATATATATATTTTTAAATATAACAAGCTTAGAGCATTATTGTTTTTTTTATTTAGAACACCATTTTTCATATAAATAAAGAGTATTTCATTAATTTTTAAATATAAAGAATACAATTTTTATTCAAATCCAATAGACTCTTTAAATTTAATAAAAATGTTCTTTATTTTTAAGAAAGAGACTTAATGGGAGAGAGAATTAATAAATAAAATGCATAGGAACTTGTAATTTATTAATTAAAATTATGATAGAGAGTGAAATTTGACTCTCTAAATGTGGAGAGCCAAACTTACTCTCTAATTTATATTTTAAAGATGAAAAGTATGTTAGATTTTGTTTTTATGGATAGACTCTCTATAATAAAGAGTTTTAGTCATATAAAGAGTCTTTTGGAGATGCTCTTAAAAAAGCCGTTGGTAAAAGTTGTCAATTTTACACCCTTCAACTGAATGTTTTAGAGCATCTCAAGTACTACTCTTTATTTTGAAGAGCATCTTTCATATAAATAAAGAGTATTTTCATTAATTTTTAAATATAAAGAACACAATTTTTATTCAAGTCCAATAGATTCTTTAAATTGAATGAAGATACTCTTTATTTTTAAGAAATAAACTTAATGGAGAGACAATTAATAAATAAAATGCATAGGAACTTGTAGTTTATTAATTAAAATTAGAATAGAAAGTGAAATTTGACTCTCTAAATGTGGAGAGCCAAACTCACTCTCTAATTTATATTTTAAAGATAAAGAGTTTGTTGGACTCTTGTTTTTATGGATAAACTCTTTATAATAAAGAGTTTAAGTCATATAAAGAGTCATTTGGAGATGCTATTATAATCATTTATAGTTTTTATAGGTCATTTACCATCTCTTGTCCTTCATTTGCTTAATTTAGCTGAAATTTTATAAAGTTCAGGTAACGGTCAGGGGTTTAAGGCTATTCCTAATACCCTAAGGGGTTTAGAAATTGTTAGGTAAACGTCAAGGGGCTGTCAATTATTATCCCTCAAAATAAAATCTAATAGTTAATTGATGTCAATTCTATAATGGAAATCTATTAGTTAATTGAAATCGACTTAAACCTAGTACAGACTTAAAACTCCATTATTTCTTTAACTAGTTTGGTTTGTTCAACTCATTTAAAAGAATATCTTTATATTAGTACTTATAAAATATTTCTAAATTATGTTTGTATAGCTTTTAAGAATGAAAAGTTGTTTATACAAACGTGAAATATTAAAATATCTTGAAACTTAATACAAATTATTTTATAATATTATTTATATAAATAATTTAAATTTTTTTATTAAAAAAAAAAAAAAACAATGGTGTCATTGGTTGGCAACTCTTGAGAGTTCATTTAACGATATTGTCGATTAGAATGGAAACTCCACATCTTATTGTAGTGATAGTGTACTAAAATAATTTATTTATATAGATTTAAATCATATTTTATATGTATCCGCTAATTAAGTTCCACGTACTTTTTAGTAGTTACAATCTCCAAAGACAGTCTGCACAGGATTGTTTTCCATAATGTTATACCCCAGGCCAAGGCTTTCCTTAAGAAGCATGACCAAAATGTCAATGCCGGTATTGATTTTGTCTGCTGATGCTTTCGTTTTATAGTATTAGTGCTTAAATTGCAGTAGATTAACTGAAGATCAAGTCAAATTGAGTGTTGGTGCATGTGGTGAGGTCTCTTCTGATTTCGGAGTTTATTTTTTCTATTTGCTTTTGTATATAATTTGTGTAAAGGTGGCAGCCAACACACTCATTCTCGCTTTTTGAGAAGGAATGTTCATATGTAATTACGGATCGGTTTTGCAGCCAAAGAGCATTGGTCAGAAGTCATAATCAATTTTCTGAAGATTATAATCCATGGAGCTGGGTGGTTGGATTGGACCATATTTATGTAAAAGAAATCTTTGACGTATGATGATTGATGAAACCAATATAGGTAATGACTGAACTTCTTAAAATGTATTATTATCTTATATATATTGTATTTCTTCCGAGAAGTAGCTAGAAAGCAGGAGGATTCTTTTTCTCAATCTAGATAGCTATGTTTAAGTAATTTTTTTTTTTTTTTTTTTTTTTTTTTTTTTTTTTTTTTTTGAGAATCAGACTTGTATATATGAGTTTCACCTGCAACCTACAATTTGTTATATCATGGTCAACATTGTCAGAGTAAACGATATTCTTGTGTGTAGAAATACTTGATTAGGAAGAAGATGGTAGCTGTTAGTGGCTGAAGAACAACAAAAGATTTGTAGTTAGTAGTTACAGTGCGCAAGGTTCCGTACTTTAACCTTATATAAAGGGGATTAGATGGTCAAGTGCATTAACAAAGAAGAAATGGGGAAATTGAGCAAGAGTGACAGTGTATTAGAAGTGGTGACTGATCAGTTGTTTTAATTGTTTCATTTGTTATAAGTAGTTCAATGCTTGCAGCTTTCCAGCAATTTACAACTTTGGGGATTCTAATCTGACACGCGCTGACTCATTGACATTTGGTCGCTTCCTTATCCTAACGCAGACTTATTTCGGTATGCCTTCTGGCAGGACTTGTGTGGACGTCTCATCATTGACTTTTAGGTATTTGCTAGACATCTATTCTCATTTAATTACTACTTTATTAAGCATTGTATATCATATCTAAATTGATCCTCCCTCCAGCAGCGAGAAATTGGGATTACCTTTGCTGAATTCATATCTGATTCTTTGCAATCAAATTTTCGACATGGAGCAAACTTTGCTGCTAGTCGAGCTACAATCCAGCAAGTAAATGGTCAGTTATGTGGGGACGTTATAGCCCCTTATCTCTCGGTATTCAGCTTTCGGAGTTTGAGCAACTTAAAGTCCGCACTAAGTTTTTACATTCAGGTTAGGATTAAAAAATACTGAAAATCGAATTAAAGAATCCCCATATATTCCTTCTTCATGCATTAGCCTTTCATTATGCTTTCTGTGTTTTCAGCCAATTGCTCACACACCAAAGTCAAAAGTGGTCTGCCAAGGCCAACGACTTCTCAAAGGCACTTTACACATAGATTGTGGACAAAATATCTTCATTATTTAGTTACAACGATGACGGAGGACCAACCAAGGCAGCCATCCCCAATATAACTGATCAGTTTGTTCAGCATAGAGGTAATATCTTCATCTCATCTCTATCTTAATAGAGGGAACTTGCTGGCTAACGATATGACTTTTGCAACTCACATGCATGGCTCAAATGTATTCATTAGAGCATTTCTTTTACCTTGTTTCACCTCTTGACTTCGGAATTATTACAGAACTCTACCAAGAAGGAAAGGAAATTTTGGATACATATAGGTCCCATTGGGTGCTTGCCACTTAGGTTATTCACCATGCCAATTCTGGTGATGTAGACGAAATTGGTTGCGTTAAGTCTCACAATGAGGTTGCTCAAGAATTCAACAGGCAGCTTAAATACAGGATTTACCAACTAAGTTGCCGACTTCAGGGGTGGAGCTTATTTCTGTCGATATCTATTCACCAGTACACTTTAATCAGAGAAGCAACCAACTACGGTATGTATATACCTTTAGATACATCAAACTAGTTAATTAGAGCTAATCATTTTATGATAAATTGGTTAATTATTTCAGTTTTTAATCCTTTTGAGTATTGTTGTGGGATGATAATTGCAAATGTTGGGAACTCTGCAACAATATTAGTCATCAATGATCCATCAAAATACATTAGTTGGGATAGCCTGCATTATACTGAGCTGCAAACTACTGGATACAAGCCGCATTATGAATGGCTCATTTTCAGATCCTCCGATTTCCCTCAGAAAGCAGTTGAGATCCTCTTCTTCACTCACGTTTATCACCTCCACATGTTACCACCATGTTTTTGTTTTTTTTAAGTGTAATAACCAAATTCTTCGTCTTTTGATCCTGGCGGAGGCTTATTTAAATAAAGATGTAATAATCTAGCTCTTCATAGCTGGTTTCAAACACACTCTGCAGCATTCAGTGCCAAAATTCAAATGATAAATAATTTACAATTGGATGTCATTTTTCTCAAGATATATTAAATTTAATATACATATAAAATTCCAGCGCAAAGCTAGAAATGCAATACAGGGGTCAAAATTAGAATAACAATAGAAAAAAAAAAAAAAAACTAAAATACTAAGCACTAGACATTTGTTTTTGAGTTTAATGCACTTTACTCCCGAGGTTCCTAAATTAAAATATTCCCCCTCGGGTATCAAAAATGATGATTTACCCCTTTTTGTTGTTATTCTGTTAAGATTTTCACTAACTGATTAATACATTTCAGATTTAATTCTTTAAATTAAATATTGAAACCCTAACAAGATACCGGCAACAAGCTAGGGGTAAATTGTTATTCATGATACCTAAGGTAGAAAATTATTATTTGGAGAAATCTTACGGTGAAAAATTATAAAACTCTTTGTTTTATTAATAATATAGTCACTGAGCAATTACATGTATAATTTTGGTATTTTGAAAAGTGTTGAATTATAGTTTCATTATCCATGCCATCGAATACATCATTTTCTATATACACAACTAAACTATCATTCAACCATTAATCTCCTATTTGATTTGTAAATGATTCTCTACAAAATTTATTGATGAAAATACTCTCTCACGCTCGTAGTGGCCACCAAAAGTATTAATGCCCATTTTATCAAAAAAATAAACTAATCAAAATCCCTTTTATCCTTTTTAGTCTTAATCATAATTTTCACAAGATCTCTAAAAGGATCGAATAGCTTTAAGAGAGGGGGTTGAATTAAGCCTTTAAAGCACCTAAGGCCATTTTTTAACTATAAGCACACTTTGAGCTAATTAGTGATTTAAAGTCTCTTCTGATGCAATTTGTGAATGTAAACAATCATGAGCAAGTAAGTATGAACAAGTAAAGAAATTGCACAAAATAAAGAGAATACGGAAGAGAAAATCAAACACGCAATATATACTGGTTTGGCCCAAACCCTGCCTACATCCACTCCTCCAAGCTATATCCCCCTTGGAGTATTCCACTATCTAATTTAGTCTTCAACCAAGACTAAGATTTTTCTTCATACAAGTTGGCTTCCAAGGTGCAACTAAACCTTTACACAAGTGTTCTATCCAACACTTCAACACAATTGACTTCAAGGTGTCAATTATACCTCTCTCAATCACTAGGACTTACTTTCTCTCACTAGAACAATCTAAAGGCCCCAAGAGTGAAACCCACACTTTTACAATTCAATTTAATTTAATACAACACTAAAAACTCTCTTAATAGAGTGAATGAACAAGTTTTTAGGCCAATACAACTCAATCTACAAAGTATAAAAGTGATGGTGTAGTCAGTGTTTAAGGATAGAATGAGAAATTTGCAAGTGAAAACTCTTTGAATGATTAAATCCTTTTGGTTTGAAGTTTTTGCAAGTTTAGAGTGATAAAAATTAATTCAATATGATTTGGTTGGGTTTACAAAGAAAATCCTAAAAAAAAAAAAAAAAGCAATTATACACAAAAATAAATTTTCCAATTCGCGTCATTCTATCTGCCTAATGGTCTCTATTTGATCGCCCTATTGCTAATGTGTCACTAGTTATTATAACTCTCAACTGACATTAGGTCGACCTAATAGTGCATTTGATCGTCTTAACAGGCTATTTGGTCGACCTAATAGTCATCCTTTTAACAAGACTTTTTGACTTCTGTCCATAGGACAACCATTAAATGGGTCAAACTACAAGATTTTACAACTTTGCCATATCTTATTTAACTCCGTTAACTTTAAAATATGACATTTTAGACAATAATTAAAAATCAATAATAGGAACCCTATTCGGCTAACCTAATGGGTTAGTCTGTGAAGATTTAAAACTTGATAAATATGTTTAACCCATTTAGTTTGAAAAATGGCATTTAGACCCCAATTTGAAAAGAGTAATACTAGCCTTACAAAGAGGCATACAAAGAGTCATACAAAGATTCAAATCCAACCCTTGAAAGAAGGGAAAAAGAGAGAGAGAAAAAGACAATCATGAATTTCAATGGCTAGATCTGGCTCGTTGTATGACTCTTTGTAAGGTTAGTATTGCTTATTTGAAAATCCCAAAAAAGCTTTTTGAGAGCTTTCATATGTAAATCGATTTTCTAGCCAAGACTCGTGCTTTTACAAGTAAAAATGATTACAAGGAAATATAGCTAGACTAAGCTTTCTTGAATTCCTCCAAATTCTTCATCCGAGCTTTGACTTTTTCCCTTCTTGACAAACCTTTGAATGCATTGGAAAATTTCCTTGCCATCTAAGTTCACACTTGAGCAAGTGTCATTAGGAAACATGCTTAAGGGCATATTAGTTTATTATTATCAAAATTAGAGCTTAATAACTCCTTGAGTCAACACCTCTAAATAGCATAAAATTAACATTAGAATGTATATTCAAAATATAATCAAGTGGAGAATCAAATGTCATGAGTTTTAATAAAAAAAATCTTCCAAATAAAGTTCAACAAAGGCTTTAACCTGTTGGACTTACTTAAATAACAAAGGCCATTCTAAAGTTTCCCCAAATTAGACATTTTGAATCTAGCTCTTAGAGTGCGTTTGGTTCAGAAAATGTTATATTATTGGAAAGATATATTATCAGAGAATCTTTAGAGAAATGTGTTTGGTTGGTTGGAATAAATTGGTGGGTATGTTATAATAATATGTTTGGTTGGAATGATAAATGAGTGGATATGTTATGTAGATTACTAATTACCCTCCTTTTTAAATAATAATATAATATTATTTTTATTATTATTTTATTCTATTATTTTTTAAACTATTTTTTTAACCTCCTATATTTAAAATTTTGCTAAAACACCCCAACCATATAAAACTTTAATTTGTAGCAAAATCACCTCCACCCACCTCAAGCCACCTCCACCATCGGCAGCCACCATAATGGAGCATGACCAGTCGGATCTGGCTAGTCGTGCCCCGGTAAGGCCTAATATGGCCATGGGTTGCTATATCTGGCCGTGAATAATGTTGTTTCATGGCCAAAGATGTGGCTGTAAAACGGCCATAGATCTGGCCGTGAAACAACCACAGATTTGGCCGTGAAACGTCGGCCATTTCACGGCCAAAGATTTGGCCTTTTCATGACCAGATCTATGGCATTTCATGGCCACGTCTTTGGCCGTGAAATAGCCAGATCTGGTCGTTTCCGGCATGGATCACAAATCCATGGCCAGAAACATCTTTACCGGCACACGACCGGCAAGATCCCGCCAGTCTTGCCTCGATATGATGACTTTCGCTGGCAGCCAGTGGTGGTGGCTAGCGGCTGGCGGTGGTCTTAGGTGGCTGGGGGTATTTTGTTAACTTTTAAACTTTTTGTAACTGGGGTATTTTAGCTATATTTTCAAATATAGGAGGTCTAGGTAATTATTATTTGGTAGACATATGAGGGCAAATGTGTCCGAAATGATAAAAGATTAAGGACAAAATAGGGTCAAAATTAAGATCATCTCGGTAATCTTATATTAACATCCCTTGAGAAGGTAATGTGATTACCCTCAATATTACCAACAGTAAACACTATTTGCAATAAAAATATTACGTAATATTTTATTACTTGACAACCAAACAAAGGAATCTTGAAAATTAAACAAAAATTATAAGAATAATCTTATATCACCTCGAACCAAATGCAACCTTACTATAATATTTGATTTTGGTTGAACTACACGATATCATCAAAATAAGGGATATAGTTGACAACCTCCTTAGATTTACCTTACACCCCTAAATTCTCCGCGATTAGCTAAACATTATGCAACAAACCATCTGACACTAACAGACATATTAAAATCCATTATTGCCCTTGTTAATTAAATAATCTCTTTCTTTAATAATCCATTTCACCTCTACCTTCCATTGTTTTCATTTGTTTTAATCTAAACTTTTCATTCCCTCTTAACCCAATCTAATTGTCTCTCAACTCTCACGACACATACCTAGAGCTTTAACTCTCCATGAATGGCCTCTCTCCAGCAAAACTCCAACAACTCTCTTCCTCCCATCCAATCTCCTCTCCCTCCCTCTCCATTTGCCTCCCGAAAAACCCCTTCCTTTATGAAATTCTCCACCCTGCACTATAAAAAATCTTGACAACACTATAAATTCCACCAATGACACTGAAAAGGTTGAGAAAATCTTCGCCAACGAGGTAGTTTACAACTTCTTCGCAACACACCATTGACCCCGAAAAGAAACGAAAACTCATCGACAAAATCTACAAGTCCTCTACGATATAGCCTCACATGGCAAATTCTTGGCAAATGTGGAAAGATGGTGAGAGAGTCGAGTTTGATGGTGAGATTCACAATAAGGTACCAAAAATTTGGGTCAAAATTGATTGATATGAGCGTCAAACAATAGCTTGAAGAGATCGAGGCAGATCAGGAGATATTTAACTTACCGTATGAGAAATTTTTTTTTTTTGGTTTTTTTTTTTGTGACGTAATTTGGGCTCGATTAATTGTATTGATAGTTGGTCTTTTACTTTATTTTCGGGAGAAAATGAAGAGGGAAATTGAAGTAGGGGTGGGATAAATTCCGAAAACCAAACCGAACCAAAAATTAGGTTTTTTTTACAAACCAGTTCGGTTTTCGGTTTGTGAAATTCAAAAAACCGAAAAACTGGTTCGGTTTGAAAAAAATTTCAAACCGGTTAAAAACCGGTTTTACCCTAAATATAAAAGCAAAAAAATTATTATATATAAAATAATAAATATTTGAATTTAGGGACTTAAATGAAACATTGAAGAATTTTAAGGATAATTTGAAAACCGGTTAACTGGTAATTGA